TTGTACCTACAAAGGGGGTACACCAATGATCTTCTCGTAGTCTGAAGGCCGAACGAGTGCTCCAATCCGATGTGAATAGAGGGGTTGGTACCTGCAAAAGGCACTCCAACGCTCAAGTCAGGACAAGCACAGATATCTAGGATAATTAATGAACAGTGACGTTACCTTTTGACCTGAGCTATTTATACTGACATTTATGGGCCTTGAGCCTTATGGGCCCTATAGCGTATTTATCGTATTAGGGTTTAGGGTTTAATCAAGTAATTATCCCCTAAGCCTAGATTAAGTGTTAAGTGATGATGGGCTGATTCAGGTGGCCGATTGGCGTTCGGCTACCTAATTCTTCCATTTGGTGGCCGATGTAGGAATGACCAAACGTCCCTACCTGTACAGTTTTTTTTAATAATACAGGCCAAATTAAATCAATTATTGACTAAAATAAGAGACCAAAACAATATTTATTTCTTTTTAAATCGTATGAATAACAACTCAATCAATAATGAAACAGAATAGGTCAATTGGGTCAAAAAAATTAACTATTACTTTAAAATTTTTAAAAACATTATAAATAATAAAAATACATTAACAAACAAGTAGTAATTATAAAATATCATATACAAGTTGATTCTTTAAATTCGCCATGTTACAAAAGTAAAAGCTTATTACTCATGGGTTGAGTTGAGTTATTGAATTCTAGAATTAAAAAAAAAAAAAGTATCCAAATTAAAAGTCATCAAATTCAAACACACTAGATCATCTCTTTCTATTTTCTTTGTCTCTCTATTTTTTCCTCCTTCTTGTATTCTTTGATTTGATCTTTTCCATGTTTCTGTGCCGAAGCAAACACTAATATGTGATGTGTCATCATTTGCATGCAATCCTAATGACACTTGCATCACATTATTATTTGCCTCGTGTCCTTTCTGGATGGACACCTTGCATTTTCAGGACCCGGTGCTCGTGCTCATCATCATATTCATAACCTCAGATATAATATCTTATAAATTACCAGTATTACATATACTTTAGGGTGTAAATTTATATATTGCTTAACACGCATCCTTTTAATTGCATAATATAAGGTAAGTTTTAGTGTTTTACATGAAAACGAACAAATTTAATATATTTTTGGTACTTATCCTTAGCAGTCTTTTAACTCCATCAATTTTAGTTGTTTAAATAGTTAAAAAAATATTTTCAACGATGCAAAACTTTCATAATAAAGAAATTAACAATTATTAAACTACCAGAATTTTTTTTTATTATGGAAGAAATATTTGAAAGCCTAACAATTGCTATAAAATTTGTGGCCATTTTGCATCGCAAAAACTATGTGATTTTAACAATAACATAGTAATGACGATACATTAAATTTTTTCATAAAAGACAAACTTGGTACATATAAATTCAAAACAGTCTTGTAATTACATGCATGTATAGGATTAAATTAATAATTAAGTTTCCTTAATATTATTATTTAATTACAAATCATGAGAAATTTATATAAGTAATTATGAAAATGATCGTTAAGATAAGAAGTTTGTTACTTGTTGTTCAACTAAAAATCAAAATCAAATTAGATTTCACTTTGAATATGAAGAAACAAATAAAAGTATCATTTTATTATGAAAGTTTTAACTTTGATGAGATAATAATACCGACCATCCTAAATAAATATAGCTGAGTTTTATGGGTGAAGTTATATATAATATAGGGATAAGTTTTTATAAAAACAAAAGAACAAAGTTAAAAAGCACGTGATAAAGAATATAGGTATAAATAGCGAAGATAGGTTGGTTTGGTGACAATGAAGTTGTTCCATATTTCTTGTGTGAACTGAAATAGTAGTGTTGGGATTTGAAAGATGTTTGGGAGTGTGAGGGGTCTGTTTGAGAAGGGGCATAAGATAAAAGGGACAGTGGTGTTGATGAGAAAGAATGTGTTGGACTTCAACACCGCCGCTGAACTTACAAAAGCAAATGTCGGCGGAATCCAAAGCTCCGGCTTCAAGGTTGTCGGTTCAACACTTGACAACCTCACTGCTTTCCTAGGCCGAAGTGTCTCTCTCCAGCTCATTAGTGCTACCAAGCCTCATGGTTTCCATCTTTTCTTCGTTAACATTCTTTCTTCATCATATTCATATACTTTACGTACCCTTTTAACTTTGGATATATATATGTCATGTGTTTGTAGCAAATGGAAAAGGAATAGTTGGAAAGGACACGTTCTTGGAAGGGATTATCATCTCGTTACCAACTTTGGGAGCAGGAGAGTCTGCATTCAATATTCATTTTGAATGGGACGATAGCATGGGAATCCCAGGTGCATTTTACATAAAGAACTACATGCAAGTTGAGTTCTTCCTCAAGAGTTTGACCCTCGAAGACGTTCCAAACCATGGAACCATCCGTTTTGTTTGCAACTCCTGGGTTTATAACTCTAAACTTTACAAAAGCCCGCGCATTTTCTTCGCCAACCATGTAGGTACTTGGCAAGTATATATGCTAGTTTATAAGATTCAGCATTTCTAACTCATTTGATGTTATGTAATAACGTAGACTTATCTTCCAAGTAAGACACCAGCACCACTTGCCGAGTACAGAGAAGAAGAGTTGAAGAACCTAAGAGGAGATGGAACAGGAGAACGCAAGGAACATGATAGGATCTATGACTATGATGTCTACAATGATTTGGGGAATCCAGATCGGGATGAAGACCTTGCTCGCCCCATTCTTGGAGGCTCTACCACCCATCCCTACCCTCGTAGGGGAAGAACTGGTCGATATCCAACAATTAAAGGTTTGTTTTCTATATAGGGGTGTGAAAAAAACCCAACTATGTAAGCTTAGTTTTTGTTGTTTCCTAATGATCAATTTAAACAGATCCGAATTGTGAGAAACCAGGCGAAGTTTATGTTCCAAGAGATGAAAACTTTGGTCATTTGAAGTCCTCGGACTTTCTTATATATGGAATAAAATCGTTATCCCGATATGTGTTACCGGCGTTCGAATCTTTGTTCGATTTAAACTTCACACCACATGAGTTCGATAGCTTCCAAGATGTGCGTGACCTCTGTGAAGGTGGAATTAAGCTTCCTACAGATGTAATTAGCACAATTAGCCCCTTACCAGTTATCAAAGAACTCTTTCGTACAGATGGTGAACAAGTCCTCAAGTTTCCAACACCTCATGTCATTCAAGGTCTCATAAATGAATAATGAACCACTTGGACATACAACTTTAATCGTGTAATATCTTATCATGTGTTTTTGATGAAATGGTTCCATTTAATAATGATTATTTCTTTATTATGAATTTGGGTAGTGAGTAAGTCTGCGTGGATGACTGATGAAGAATTTGCAAGAGAGATGATTGCTGGTGTAAATCCTGGCGTAATTCGTGGGCTTCAAGTAAGTTCAAATATTTATTGCTAAACAGATTGAAAAACTAAGAGAGTGACGTATCTTTGGTGATATTCTTCTTTAATGGATGGTAGGAGTTTCCTCCAAAAAGCAATCTGGATCCTGAAATCTATGGTGATCAAACCAGTAAGATAACAGCAAATGTCCTTGATCTAGATGGATGCACTGTGGATGAGGTAAATATATTTTAAGACTTGTTCGATAATTTTCCACTTAAAGTAAAAGTTTTTGTGTTCTGATTAACTTAATTTGTGAAACAGGCACTTGCTAGGAAGAGGTTATTTGTATTAGATTACCATGATATTTTCATGCCATATGTGAGGCAGATAAATCAAACTTATGCCAAGGCTTATGCCACAAGGACTATCCTCTTTTTGAAAGAAAATGGAACTCTAAAACCAGTGGTCATTGAATTAAGTTTGCCACATCCTGATGGGGATAAGTCAGGTGCAGTCAGCCAAGTCATCTTACCTGCAAAAGAAGGTGTTGAAAGTACAATTTGGCTTCTAGCCAAAGCTTATGTGGTCGTAAATGACTCTTGCTATCATCAACTCATGAGCCATTGGTATAATTTTTTTCATTGCAATTGATGATCAACATAAACAAATTCTATCTATCTATATATGAAGTGTATTATTTTTAATTTTGTTCATAGGTTAAATACTCATGCGGTGATGGAGCCATTCATCATAGCAACACACCGACACCTTAGTGCGCTTCACCCAATTTATAAGCTTCTAACTCCTCACTATCGTGACACCATGAACATCAATGCACTTGCTAGGCAACTTCTAGTTAATGCTGACGGCATAATAGAGAAATCTTTTTTGCCCTCAAAGTATTCTGTGGAGATGTCTTCAGCGGTTTATAATAACTGGGTTTTCACTGATCAAGCACTACCTGAAGATCTTATCAAGAGGTAAGTAAATGTAAATCTTTATAATAAAAACCGCTAAAAAAAAATGTGACTTAGATGGACAATATTAAAAGAAAACAATGCTTAAAATATATGTAAACTTATATGTAATTAATCAACAAGTCATCAATTCTAATGAAGTTGTCCTTAAGTAAGGAAATACTCTACTAAAGATAATCAGTTATGTTCTCTGAGATTATTTCAGCAATTAATACTTTGTACCTATAAGATGGTACCAAAAAATAAAAATATATGTTGACGTAAACAATTAACAAATTTGTACCTATAAGATGGTACCAAAAAATAAAAATATATGTTGACGTAAACAATTAACATGCCTTTATTTGTTTTATTCAGAGGAATGGCAATTAAGGATCCATCTGCCCCTCATGGACTTCGTCTTCTGATAGAGGACTACCCTTATGCTGTTGATGGACTACAGATATGGGATGCAATTAAGACATGGGTCCAAGAATATGTCTCATTGTACTATGCAAAAGATGATGATGTCAAAAGTGACTCCGAACTCCAACATTGGTGGAAAGAAGCTGTGGAGAAAGGTCATGGTGATTTGAAAGACAAGCCATGGTGGCCAAAGTTGCAGAAACTTGAAGAGCTTGTTGAAGTTTGCACCATTATCATATGGACTGCTTCAGCCCTCCATGCAGCTGTTAATTTTGGTCAATACCCTTATGGAGGTTTCATTCTGAACCGCCCAACTACTAGTAGAAGGTTGCTTCCTGAGCAAGGCACTGCAGAATATGAAGAAATGGTGAAGAGCCATCAGAAGGCTTATTTGAGAACAATTACATCAAAGTATCAGACTCTCATTGACCTTTCAGTCATAGAGATCTTGTCAAGGCATGCTTCTGATGAGGTCTACCTTGGCCAAAGGGAAAATCCACATTGGACCTCTGATTCAAAAGCATTACAAGCCTTTCAAAAGTTTGGCAACAAGCTGAAAGAAATTGAGGAAAAACTTTCAAGCAAGAACAATGATTCAAGTCTGAGCAATCGAGTTGGGCCGGTTCAAATGCCATACACTTTGCTTCATCCTACCAGTAATGAAGGGTTGACTTTTAGGGGAATTCCTAATAGCATCTCTATCTAAGGGAGTGTTATATATGGTTTACTATAATACATTATACGAACCTTCCAATAAATAATATGCAAGGCCATAGATCCAAATCTTGCATCTTATCGAATGATGTAATAATCGTGTGTTTAAATGCTGTAATTGAGCCCTCAACTTGGTTGTGGTTTGCAAATAAATGAATAATAAGAGCACTCGTTGATACTGAGCTTTGTTAGTTTGCGTTTAGCTCTTATCATGTTTAGAAATACAGTAGAATTAGAATAAATGCGAAGCTTCGTTTGCACTACAATATGCCATTGCCATCAAATACCAAAACTCGTTTAACATTTTGTTTCCAGGCATAAAAGCAAGTGCAAGGATGACGAAACTTGATCTTCCCCTAGTATGGCATCAAGGAGTCAAGGACTTTACTGATAAACTTTCCTTTTCTAATGATACACTCCCATAAGTTGTAGATCAGACTGAAATATTGAATAATGAGCAAAGCATATATCTAAAAGCAAACCTTATAGTCATTTGGATGTAAAAGAATTGGAAAGACATCATTATTAGTTGAAAGCTCTCACGTATGTGTGCTTTAAATAAGATGGTAATTTCTTCTAGTTTGCACTTCACAATGCCAGCATTGTTCAAACATGCATGATTGCCTTCAGTATTTTCTTTTCCATTATACAAACGCAACTTTCTTTATATTAATACCAAGCACGAAAACATTCAACCCATTCAAATACATAACTTAAACCATACATAAGTGGAAGAAGGAATGAGATTCCCTCCATTTCACATTTATTTAAAAATAGGGACACTAGTTGAGCAACCATAGTCTCTCTAAATAGAGATACTGTTGGGAATTCCTCTGAAAGTCAATCCCTCCTCACTAGAAGGAAATAGCAAAGTGTAAGGCATTTTAGCTGGCCCAGTGCGGTTTCTCAGTGTCACATCACTGTTCTTCTGTGCAAGCTTTTGTTCAATCTCTGCGAGCTTCTTTCCAAACCTCTTGAAGGCCTCCAAAGGCCCAGCGTCAGAAGTCCAGTAGTCACCACCCTCTCTGTCCCCAAGGTAGAACTCATCAGATGTATGCCTTGACAAGATTTCTATAACTGTGAGGTCAATGAGGGTCTCTTTCTTGCCAGTGATAGTCATCAAAAACTCCTTCTCAGGGTTCTTAGCCAAGGCTTGATACTCAGCAGACCCTTTCTCAGGCATGAATCTCCTGCTAAGAGTTGGCCTGTTGAGGATGTAACCTCCATATGGATACTGTCCAAAGTTAACAGCTGCATGAAGGGCTGAAGCAATCCATATGAGGGTAGTAGAAGCTTCAACCAACTCTTCACGAGTTTGCATCTTTTGCCACCATGGCTTGTCTTTCAAATCACCATGACCAACCTCTACAAGTTCTTTCCACCAAGCTTGGAGTTCATGGTCTTGTTGAAGTGCCTCATCTGACTTGTAGTAGAATGAGACATATTCTTCCACCCAAGACTTGATGGCAGCCCATATCTCTAGCCCATCAGAAGCATAAGGATAGTCCTCAATCAAAAGCTTGACACCATGGGGGGCAGATGAATCCTTAACAGCAACTCCTCTGAATCACAAAATGCCAAATAACATTGATTAGCATCAGAGTTATATCAAGCCTTCCACATAGTTGTTGATGACTAAGAGCATGTTTGGAAACAAACTTAGAAGGACTTTTAAGAATTGCTCTACTGAAAAAGAAAAGAAAAACAAAGTTCTTTATTTTGATATGATAAGTTCTCATAACTCCTTCTAGACTGTATCCAATCATGCTCTAAATAAGTTTAAATTATTTATTTTAAGAGCAACATATATTACTAATTTGTTAATAAGCTTTAAAAGATTATCCACCTCTTGACAAGATCAGCAGGTAGTGCTTGATCAGTGAAAACCCAGTCCTTGTAAATCACAGCGGACATTTCCAAAGCATACCGACCCCACAAGAATGTGCTCTCTATAATACCATCTGCATTGACTAGGGCTTTGCGGGCAAGTGAATTAATATTCATGGTGTCACGATAGTGAGGAAACAGAAGCTTATAAATAGGGTGAACCACGCTCAGATGCCTATTTGTTGCTATGATGAATGGCTCAACAACCGCATGAGTGTTTAGCCTGCCATCCAGGTTAATATGTTAAACATTTATTCATAAATATATTAATCAATTTAGTTGCATGGATATCATTTTCAATTTACAATATCATACCAATGGCTAACGAGTTGATGGTAGCAGGAGTCATTCACAACAACATAAGCCTTTGCCAGTAACCAAATATAAGCTTCGACCCCTTCGCTGGAAGGTACATAGATAGTGCTAACAGGACCATATTGTTCACCTTGAGGATGTGGCTTGCTCAACTCGATGGCCAATGGGGTCAAAGTTCCATCACTTTTCAAGAAAAATATGGTTCTAGTAGCATAAGCCTTTGTGGCAGTTGCATTTATTCTCCTCAAATATGGAATGAGGTAGTCATGGTGATCCAATATGAACAATTTCTTGTTCTGGATAGCCTGTTCAACCAAGTCTAATTAATTAATTGATTGTTATTCATTGGAATCAAATTAAAGATAAAAAAAAACAAAATAGTCAAACACTCTAGTGCAATAATCTTAACGAGAAATTAAATACTCATATCATCACCTGTTCAACAGTGAGCCCACCCAAGTTAGGCTCCAAATGTTCTTTTGTTATTATACAGGTATGATCACCATAGGCTTGAGCATCTAGCTTGCTTCGTAGTGGGAACTCCTGGAATAAATTTACCACAAAATGAGGTTAGCAATCTCAAATTTGACAAGCAAAGTGCATCCAAGCTTTTCGTTGCATGTAACTTTCTTCCCAATCAAATCGACTTCTAAATTAAGCTAACCTCAAGAATCTTAATGACATTAGGATTTACACCAGCAATCGTTTCTCTTGCAAATTCTTCATCAGTCATCCATGCAGATTTATCCACTGTACCAAATAAGAACAGTTCATAAATCCATCCACGTGACTTTCCTACATATTGAAGATATGAAATGAAGCATACCTTGCATCACTTTAGGTGGTGGATACTTGAGGAACTGTTCGCCATCCGTGCGAAAAATTTCCTTGATCACTGGTATAGGAGCGATCTTGCTAAGGAAGTTTGTTGGTAGGGTAACTCCACCTTCATAAAGTTTTCGCACTTCAGCAAAGTTATCAAACTCAAGGCTCAAAATGTTTCCATCGAATGCGTCGGTCAAAACGGGCAAGACATCTTGGGCCACAGATTTTATTCCGTAAGTGAGAAAATCTGATGATTTCAAGTGGCCAAATGCTTCATCTCTTGGAATGTAAACAAAATCGCTTGTTTTCTCACTGTTAGGATCTGTAAAGAAAATATATATTAGCATATAAACCTTACAGAATCTGTTTATAAAATTAAGACTTGTATACCTCATTTTAACCATATCACATGCGAATTTCTAACACGAAAACAAGTTTAGAATGTTAGTGAAGTTGATAGTACCTTTCTTAGTTTTTCCTCTTCCGGTTCTTCCTCTACGAGGGTAAGGTAAGGTGGAACCTCCAAGAACGGGGCGAGCATATTTTTCTCCTTTATCTGGATTTCCTAAGTCATTGTAGACATCATAGTCATAGATCCTATCCCATTCCTTCCTCTCTCCACTTCCATCCCCTCTTAGATACTTCAATTCTTCTTCTCTGTACTTCACAAGTGGACCTGGTGTCTCACTTGGAACATATGTCTGCATTGCATTATATACTTGATCATATATTCATCCATGTCATCATGTCGTAAAAATGAAGTTCAACAATAATAATAGCTTACATTGTTGGCAAAGAAGATGCGATCAGTGTCGTAGCATTTAGAATTGTAAACCCAGGAGTTGCATATGAAGTGAATGGTTCCGTGGTTTGGAATGTCTTCGAGAGTAAGAGACTTGAGGTAGAACTCGACTTGCATGTAGTTCTTAATATAAAAAGCACCGGGAATTCCGAACTCACTGTCCCATTCAAAATTAACATCGTATGCTTCTTCGCCAGCTCCCAACGTTGGTAATGATAGCTGTCCTCTTAGATTCGCAGCCTTTCCAATTTTTCCTTTCCCGGTGCCTACCAAATTCCACACAATATTCAATTTACTTGTTTAGTATAATCATCAATATGATTATAATTTATGATGTATTCATACTAAACTTACAATTTCGCTTACTATAAGTGTTAGTAATAAATACATGATCTTAAGTTCAATTCTTATTACTCTTATTACATTTTTTACTAGAACAATGAACTAAAAATATGTGATTATGGATATCAAGTTATTTATGGTTAATTTGATTGGAATAAAAGTGAAGTGAAGAAACAAACCATCAGACTGAGTAGCACTAATGAGCTGGATGGAGATTTTGGAGGCTACAATAGTAAGGGTGTCAACTGCAGAACCAATGATGTTGATACCAGTGCCGATGATTCCTGTGGCACTGGTGAGGCTGTTTATATCCAACACATTCTTTCGCATAATCACCAAATTTCCCTTTATCTTCTGACTCCTGTGCCCCAGACCGAACATCTCTCCTACTTCTTTTCTTTTCTCAAACTTAGATTTTGTGATCGAGTTCTGAGTTGTGAGGAACACAAGCAAGGGATGCTCCCTATTTATAGCTCCACAACAACACATGTATTTAAAAATCCAACGGATATCCTTTCTTCTTTTTTTTATATGTTATTTTTCATGAAACCAAATATATCTATTAAACAAGTCTCACTCGATAAAATAAAATAAAAATAATAATAATTTATAAAACACATACATACTTTAATATTAAAGAGACTTTATAAATAATAAAAATAAAATCATAAAAATAAATAATATTTTATCATTATAAAATATATTTATATAATAACTCTCGTAAAATATTTTCTCAAACAAATTTCATAAAATAACGTGAATATCACATCAAATATAGTATTCACTTTACTCGGCCTGCATTTCCATTATTCATTTCTTTTTTTGTTTCATTCTTCATGTAATTATCGCCAACGCCAAATTCCTCTTACGTCTTCGATGAGTCTCTGACTTAACATAATAATTAAGAATAATATCAGTTAGTGTGAGTTGTTTCGGTTTAATACGTGTAAGTATATTTTATTGAATATTTTAGTAGTTTAACAAATCATATTTATATTTTTAATAATGATTTCTTTTATTATTGTGTTCTCTTAACCAACATCTTTAGTATGTACGACTTATGTTATTGTATTTGACTCACGTGATATATTTGTATTAAGAGTGTTTTTTATTATATATTTACACACACAATTTTTTATTTTGGTATAGATATTATCAATTTTGGGTTAAGTTTTTATGATTTTATTTTTGACTAATAAAATATATTTGAATTTTATAAATTTTTATTTTTTCTTTTATTTTAATATTGTAGACTTTTTTATCTCAACAAATAATGGTTAATATTTGCCTTTATGCGTCAGGAAAGTCGTGCTCAGTTTTCTTACACATTTCAAGTTTTGAACAAACATCGAAGTAAAACACTTTTTATTATATTTTGTAATTACAAGTTTTTATTTAATATTTTATTCACTAAACAAATATCGAAGCTAACACATCTTTTTATTATAATTTTTTAATTAGAAGTTACTTATTTAATATTTTATTCTCTAAAATATACCTTACACTTTTAAAATAATAAAATCCAGAAAATTCAGTTAAACGTGAGAAATTATTATTTTTCAATACAAGCTTTCCTAACATATATGATGCATTAACAAAATGAAACCGATTTCATTCCATTAATTCCATCATTTCCAATAAAATTAAAATATTGCTATGTTTATGTTCCATCATTACTTTTGCAGGTAAATTAGATATTCATTTATGAAAAAAAATTAATAAATAGATTTTTTTAATTGAATTAAATTTTTATGTAAATTTTTAAAAAATTTAAATAGATTGATAGATTATTTTTATCTTATTTATTGCTTAAAAATTATTTGATCCATTCATTTGTTAATATTAATAAATATTGCTTGTTGTTATTTAAGTATACTAATAATAAAAGAAATATCATTTTTGTGTTCACTTTTAATTTTTAATTTTATCATTTAATTACCTATCATATAAAAAACTGTCCATAATTAAATAATAATGATGACTAATTAACTAAAAAAACTGACATTCACGTAAAGGCATAGAGTAAAGTAATTGTGCCTTCGAATTGATTTTTTTTATTTTTTCAAAAATTAAAAAGCAATATTTTTCTCATATTTTATTTAATAAAAAATAAACCTCATTTATACTCTGTCAATACTTATAGAAATAAAGTGGTATAAATGAAAAATCAAACTTCAATATTTAATTAAAATTCATATCGGGTCAATACTTATAAAAATAAAGTGGTATAATACATAACTTTCTATCTAAATAAACATCAAACCTCAATTTTTAATTAAGCAATATAAATATCAAATTACTCATATGATTGTACTAACAAGTTTCTTTTTTAGTAAAACAAACTTATCTCTGCGTACAAACAAAAAGATATTAAACATATGTTGATTATTGTTCTTTTTCATATTAATAATTGCGTGTGAATTGGCTGGTTTCGACAAACAGAAGATAAAAAGAAAATGCATATCACGTGCTTATTGTTTACTATTATTTTAAATACAAACTATTTTTTTAACATCAGTTGTAATAAATTATTTTAGAACTAATTTTACAAAAATCTAAAGTACGTTTATCTATGCAAGAAGTTGGAGCCTTAATTCATTATTGACTTATTGTAATTCGGTAAAAAAAAAAAAAAGTTAACCCTAAATACAGAAAAAATGCTAAATATTTAATAATATATTCGTAGTGGATTTGAATGTTGAATCTCATCGTTTTATTAAAAATATTATTTTATCCGGTTACGGAAATTATAAACCATAGAAACTATTATGATATTGAATGCTTAATAGCATGTTTGGATACGCGATTGGAGATCTAGACGCACATATTTTTGTGTAAAAATGTGATTTTTCCTGTTAAATAAATGTTTGGGTTTTTTTTCATCACATAATTTTAAGGGTGAAAATTGATTTTGGCTGAAGCTGAAAAAAATGACTTCTGCGCCCACGAAATTGATTTTGGTAAATCAATTTTTCAAACGCAAATCCAAACACACACTAAGTTAAGTATAGATTATGAATTATAAGAAGAGCAAATCATCTATACACTGTTAGTGGAAAGTTTTTTTACACTGGCAACTAATTATATTTTTTAATTGTGATGACACATTTACTTTTAATAATGACATGATACAATTAAAAGATATAATTAGTTGTCAATATAAAAAAAATTACACTGATAATATATAGGTGATTAATTTTTATAAGAATGTAATATTATATAAGATGATATTATTATTGATGGAAAGTGATGTAGGTATAAAATAATAGAAAAATGGGGGAACGAGGAGCACGCTTTGGAGTTTAATAATATAATAATAAGAATATGGTTTGTAGTTTGTAGTAGAATAGACACGAAAGTCACGAACCATGACTCTAATAATATCATAATAATTTATACAACGTCATGCTCCTTACTCCTTACTCCTTATCCTTTTGAGTCGAGAAATGAAAATGGGTCTCATTTCCATTCACAATTCACACACGTTTTAAGTTTGTCGTTAGGAAATTACTCTTTTGACGCACATTCTCATCAATGATCATACCCATGCTTTGATTCCATTCATAAGTTGGACTCACGTCCAAAGAAGCTGAATCGATAATGGGGTTCATACTTGCATGCATTTATGTACAATTGTCGTTACTTGTTAGTGTCATGTTATATTAGCAATGTCCAAACTATGAGTTACACAACGTTTTCATTGGTTTATATATAAATTATGATGTTTAATTAATATTGGAGTGATATGCATGTGGTGATGAAAGATTTTCCTCCAACTATAACTACTTAAAATGATTAATAATTATGCATGTCAAAATTAACATTAATTAGTATAAGTGGTAACATTTTATGTTTAATCAAAATGTTTAGGATTCAAATTCTAATTTTGAATATGAAATAAACTATATTGAAAAGAAAATATTTATTTTGTGTGCACTTATAATCTCTAACAAAAATTAGTTATTATTTTCATAATAAATACTTCATATGAATATTATAATTAAAAAAAATTATGTCCATTTCAATATTACAGCACGATGACAAAAGGTTACAGAGTAATTTAATGGAGTGATAAACTATTTTTTATCAACAAAAATCACAACAATCTTAATAAAAAAAATTGAGGCTTAAATTATCGTATAATTAATACATCTACCATTAATAGCATGTTTGTATTCTCGTTTAGTTCCGTTCAACGTCAAAACTACAAGAGAGTAAAGTTACATTGAACATGACTTTAGAATTCGGGAATTGAGTAAATCAAACACACTCTAAATCATCAATTTCATTATTAGAATAACTTTAGTAGATCACATGGATATAAGCTAGATCGTGGGTAAAAATAAAATTTAAGTTTTATAAAACATAAACTTATTACTTTTCAAATTTTAGATTCCAACCTAAACATTGAGTTTTTATAAGATTTTCTTTCATATATATTTTAAAAGCTCAAGTTGATTTAAAAAAAAAATTGGAAAAACAAGTTTTGTAGTTGTATCTTTTCAATAAAATATTAAAACATGTTTTGTACAATAACATTTCGTAAAATATATATAAATTTAATCAATTTAATTATTGTAATTGATACTATCAAATATGTAAAATTTCATAAATTCTTAAATTATTTAATAATTTAATACATCACTTTATTTCAAATATAATGTGATTTTTAAAATATACAAAAATATCCTTGCCAAAAAACATAATTAAAAAAGTATAAATTATATGAAATTCAATATATATAATAATAAATATAATATTACATAATTTAATAATTTGATTGATTAAATTAAAAATAATTTATTATTTTTGACAAACCGTGTCAAATGAATCCTAATTCATTAAATTTATAACCCTATAAATTAACGGATGTAAGATTTTATATAGATTGACAAATACACAACTTTAAAGTTTAAACTATTTTGAAAGTAGCGTTTTTTACTTTTTTATTTCATGATCCCACTATTGTAGGTACAGTACTATCATAAATTTAAAGTATTCAAAATATAATATAATATTTTTATAAGTATAAAGTATACATCATAATTGTTTTATATAAATTTTCATATTTTAAAAATATTAGTTAATATTTTAAAGTGCGTTCGAAAAAATATTTTAAAAGTTTATAAGTTTTTTTTTAGTGATTTATAAGTTAGCTTGATTAAAATGTAATTATTTGTTATGAAATTTTGCATAAAGTTTATTTTTAAAAATTTATAGTTTGTTTTTATAAGTTAATTGAAGTAGCTTATATTTTATAAACTTTTAACTTATTATCTTTCTCATTTTTTTATTCACATTAATTTAATTCAATTTTTTTTAATTTAGAAATTATTTTAAATTTATATTGTCTCACTCTCATTATAAAAACTATTTTATATCAAAAGAATAATATTAAAATAAAAAATGTTACTCTATCTATAATGACATTTCTAAAAAAATATATTGCAAAATAACCTATTTATTTAATATATAGTAACATTTTAACAAATGTAAGAAAGAAAATGTTACTAAAGAATTAAAATGTAGTAGTGAATTAAAAATTATGAAACTAAAATAACATTAATATTTCATTTTTCTAACTTAGGGGCATCCAGGACAGGATTTTGTGCACAAATGTTACTGATTTTAAGGAAAGAAGTTTTAAGATTTTATTTTAGTTTTCTTTATAGATTTGATTTCCCTATATTTCGAAGTCACGTGTAATTATTATGTCCACAAAACTGTTGTCATGTAAGGAAGAAACAAATATAAAATACAGTTGCCTAAATTTGTGTTGGGATATAAAGTCTCACATCGATAAATTTAGAGAAAAAATAACAACTTATAAAATATACACATACTTCAATGTAAGAGAGATTTTTTGGGTGACGACTAAAAATAAAACTCTCATAATTCAAGATTAGGTCCCTTGTTTAAGGGAAAGATTGTTGGGATAACCCTCATAACTTAAGGTTAGGTCCCTTGTTTGAGGGAAAGAAAAAATAATAACTATTGTTGAGATATTAACAAGTTTCACATCGATAAAATAAGAGAAAAAATAACAACTTATAAAACACACACATACTTCAATAAAAGAAAAGCCTTTTGGATGATGACAAAAAACAAAACCGTAAAGGCTTAGGCCCAAAGCGGACAATATCTCATCATGTGGAGTTGTGCGTGAAAAACCTTATAAAAATAACTCTTATAAAATATTAACTGTAAGAGAAATAAGAGAAATCGTAAGGCTTATGATGAGATATTAACAAGTTTCACATCGATAAAATAAGAGAAATAAAAATAATTCTTATAAAAAATAACTCTTATGATGAGATATTAACAAGTTTCATATCAATAAAATAAGAGAAAAAATAAAAACTTATAAAACACACGCATACTTCAATAAAAGAAATACTTTTTGGATGATGACCAAAAACAAAACCGTAAGGACTTTGGCCCAAAACGGACAATATAGAGTTGTGTGTGAAAAACCTTATAAAAATAACTCTTATAAAATATCTCCACACACAAATACCATAAAATAACCCCAACAATTTACTATCTTTCTAGAGAGCTTTCTCCACTAATTCCATCAAAGGAGACAGTGATTAAGCTGTTCGTTGAACTCTCATGATCGTCAGATTCAGACGGAGGAGGACTCATCCTCTTTGCCAAACCCAAACATTGTTTCAGTTCATTAACTACATGGCTCATGGTTGGCCTATTAATGGAAGTGGTTGCTACACATGCCATTGCAGTGTCTAAGACCTTCTTTACGGCATCAATATCAAATTCTCCCCGTAATCTTGAATCTACAATATCACTCATCTCCCTTTCAAGTAATATAGAACTAACCCATTGAATTATGTGAGTTTTCTCTTCAGTTTTGGTTATGGCAGGTTGACCGGTAATTATCTCAAGCAAAACTATCCCAAAACTGAAAACATCACTTTTTTCCTTCAACCTATGTGATCTATTGTACCTGCAGGATAAAAATTTATATGAAACGTTGTATTCATTAAAACACTTGACTTTTGAGTTTTGCCAACAGGGTTTGACTTGAGTCAAAATAAAAACTTACTCAGGGTCAAGATATCCAGGGGTACCAGCTACCACTGTGGTCATATGGGTGTCACCTTCATCGGGGTAGATCTTTGACAACCCAAAATCAGCTAGTTTGCCCCGGAATTTTTCATTCAGTAAAATGTTTTTAGACTTCACATCTCTGTGAACAATTGGTGGATTGCAGCCATGATGCAGATACTCCAATCCTACGGTAAAAAACGTTCAACTTATATTTTGTTGCATGAAACTCTGACTTACACAAAGGAGCAAAGGATTCTTTCCATACTTACCTTCTGCAGTATCCACTGCAATTTGAAGTCGTTGGTTCCAACTCAATATATTTTTGGCTTTGCCTACATTTTTTGGGATAAACCACGGAATGCATGAATTTTAAATCAGGGCAAGAAAAAAAAAAAAGAGAAAGAAAAGACATCATTCTTGGATTATGTTGTAGAATATATAGAGAAAATTTGATTTCCGATACATACAACTGATCTTTGACTCAATTTTTAGGCTTCATCTAAATGTATCTGATTTAACTCCTTTAAGAAAAACATATAAAACATATTGTATAAAGGAGGTTACGTGACACCCCATCTATCCTTCTTCACCATTTTTTTTTTCACATTCTCCATGTTTCTACAGCTTCTTCTTAATTTCTCTCATTTATTTTATATTGTATATTATATTTTATTAAATCTAATTTAAATATTATTATCACGTTATTTTCCATCACAATTTTACTAATGAACATGTAATAAGTGGACAAAATTTACTGTTTTTTTTTATAATAATAAATGATCAAAATTGTAAAATCACTACAACAAAAAAAACATTTAGTAACATTTAAAAAATGTTACCAAATTGTGTATAAATATTACTGAATTGCTTTAGTAACATATTATCAAATATTGTATATAGTCCATGTTGCTAAAGACTTTTAATAACATTTTTATATAATTAGGCAACATTTTTCAAATGTTATCAAAGTAGTTATCAATTATTATTTTTAATAATTATTATATTTAGATATTATTATCAATTATTATATTTTTATGTCTCCTAAATTTCTAGGAGTTCTTCAAGAGAAGATTAAAGATATTCTTAATTAGTCACTGGTTATATGTCAAATATCAAAGTTCATTTATCTTAAGTATAACTATATGATTATATATACTCTTTATAAGTTTTTTCATTTATTCGATGTGAGACTTTAAATATGGGTAACAATTAGAGATGAGAGAAATATACTTTTTTTTACTTGATGTGAGACTTTGATTCTAGAAGCAATTACAGTAACATTTTTCAAGAAAATGTTACAAAATAACCTATGTGACATTTTTTTACTCGATATGTGACTTTGATTTTGAAAATAATTTAAAAGAATAATATTAAAATAAAAAATGTTACTCTATCTATAATGACATTTCTAAAAAAATATATTGCAAAATAACCTATTTATTTAATATATAGTAACATTTTAACAAATGTAAGAAAGAAAATGTTACTAAAGAATTAAAATGTAGTAGTGAATTAAAAATTATGAAACTAAAATAACATTAATATTTCATTTTTCTAACTTAGGGGCATCCAGGACAGGATTTTGTGCACAAATGTTACTGATTTTAAGGAAAGAAGTTTTAAGATTTTATTTTAGTTTTCTTTATAGATTTGATTTCCCTATATTTCGAAGTCACGTGTAATTATTATGTCCACAAAACTGTTGTCATGTAAGGAAGAAACAAATATAAAATACAGTTGCCTAAATTTGTGTTGGGATATAAAGTCTCACATCGATAAATTTAGAGAAAAAATAACAACTTATAAAATATACACATACTTCAATGTAAGAGAGATTTTTTGGGTGACGACTAAAAATAAAACTCTCATAATTCAAGATTAGGTCCCTTGTTTAAGGGAAAGATTGTTGGGATAACCCTCATAACTTAAGGTTAGGTCCCTTGTTTGAGGGAAAGAAAAAATAATAACTATTGTTGAGATATTAACAAGTTTCACATCGATAAAATAAGAGAAAAAATAACAACTTATAAAACACACACATACTTCAATAAAAGAAAAGCCTTTTGGATGATGACAAAAAACAAAACCGTAAAGGCTTAGGCCCAAAGCGGACAATATCTCATCATGTGGAGTTGTGCGTGAAAAACCTTATAAAAATAACTCTTATAAAATATTAACTGTAAGAGAAATAAGAGAAATCGTAAGGCTTATGATGAGATATTAACAAGTTTCACATCGATAAAATAAGAGAAATAAAAATAATTCTTATAAAAAATAACTCTTATGATGAGATATTAACAAGTTTCATATCAATAAAATAAGAGAAAAAATAAAAACTTATAAAACACACGCATACTTCAATAAAAGAAATACTTTTTGGATGATGACCAAAAACAAAACCGTAAGGACTTTGGCCCAAAACGGACAATATAGAGTTGTGTGTGAAAAACCTTATAAAAATAACTCTTATAAAATATCTCCACACACAAATACCATAAAATAACCCCAACAATTTACTATCTTTCTAGAGAGCTTTCTCCACTAATTCCATCAAAGGAGACAGTGATTAAGCTGTTCGTTGAACTCTCATGATCGTCAGATTCAGACGGAGGAGGACTCATCCTCTTTGCCAAACCCAAACATTGTTTCAGTTCATTAACTACATGGCTCATGGTTGGCCTATTAATGGAAGTGGTTGCTACACATGCCATTGCAGTGTCTAAGACCTTCTTTACGGCATCAATATCAAATTCTCCCCGTAATCTTGAATCTACAATATCACTCATCTCCCTTTCAAGTAATATAGAACTAACCCATTGAATTATGTGAGTTTTCTCTTCAGTTTTGGTTATGGCAGGCGCCATAGGACGAAACCCTAGCGCACCCCTTGGCCGGAACAGATTTATAACTTATAAACTTTCGGTTAGTTTATTATTGACTAACTATTCATTTTCAATATTATTAAAATTCTTTCTCTATATATATAAGTTATTAAACAAACATTTAACTAATATAATTATAATTAATATAATTTTCATAAAATACAATATTCTTAGACTATAATATTCTTGAACAAGAGTTGCATGATAATTTTTTTTATAATATTAGAAGTTTTTTTAAAAAGAATAAATAAATGAAAGTAATATTTTTTTTAAAGACAAAGAAAGACAATAGAAATGAGAGAAATTCTACAGTACCCACTATAATTGTAGGGGTACCGGAACAGTCATTTTTTTTTATTGTACTTACTTATTTTATTTTTATTTTTATTTAATATTTTTAATAATTTATCTGTATAAAAAAAAATTATATCTCTATATTACTTTTATGTTTTTTAATTTATACCTTAATGTAACATTTATTATAATTAAAAAGTTTAATATTAATATTTTGTTAATATGTTTTAGTTTTTCTTTGATAATTTTTTTTGAATTTATAGTATAAATTAGTTTTTCAGTTGTACTATTTATTTTTTTTATTTTAATGTTTTTATAATATTATTATAATTTTTTGTTTTTAATTTTTTAATTTTATCACATATAAACAAAATTTGTTATGAAATAAATGAATAATAAGAGCACTCGTTGATACTAAGCTTTGTTAGTTTGCGTTTAGCTCTTATCATGTTTAGAAATACAGTAGTATTAGAATAAATGCGATGCTTCGTTTGCACTACAATATGCCATTGCCATCAAATACCAAAACTCGTTTAACATTTTGTTTCCAGGCATAAAAGCAAGTGCAAGGATGACGAAACTTGATCTTCCCCTAGTATGGCATCAAGGAGTCAAGGACTTTACTGATAAACTTTCCTTTTCTAATGATAGACTCCCATAAGTTGTGGATCAGACTGAAATCTTGAATAATGAGCAAAGCATATATATATAAAAGCAAACCTTATAGTCATTTGGATGTAAAGAAGTCATATCAAATAGTTGACGAGGGATAGGTCGGTAATGGCTTAGCTGACTCTCTTTCTACCATAAGCCTTCTCGCCTTACACGCTCAAGGCTGGAGGGCAAGTGTACCGTCCAGGTAAAAATCCGACTTGACCTTCTGCTCGGCTAATACCTGACTAGGTTACCAGGCTACAAGCCTTTTCGCCTTATAGGCTCAAGGCTGGAAGGCAATTGTACCGTCCAGGTCAAAATCCGACTTGGCCTTCTACTCGGCATTAACCCGACTGGGTCCTCGGTATGGACCCAGTCGGTCGGAATCCGACCAGATTCGTTTCCCTTTTACCCCGCGCCATCATGATAAGAAACGGTTAGAGAAATCCCTTCATTCTGGGGGCCCAAGAGGCCCATGAACGATATCATAAAACCCAAAACCCTAGAGTCGAAGAGACAGATTACACTTTTGAATGCTCTGGCTTTGAGGTTCGCCATAGGACGAAACCCTAGCGCACCCCTTGGCCGGAACAGATTTATAACTTATAAACTTTCGGTTAGTTTATTATTGACTAACTATTCATTTTCAATATTATTAAAATTCTTTCTCTATATATATAAGTTATTAAACAAACATTTAACTAATATAATTATAATTAATATAATTTTCATAAAATACAATATTCTTAGACTATAATATTCTTGAACAAGAGTTGCATGATAATTTTTTTTATAATATTAGAAGTTTTTTTAAAAAGAATAAATAAATGAAAGTAATATTTTTTTTAAAGACAAAGAAAGACAATAGAAATGAGAGAAATTCTACAGTACCCACTATAATTGTAGGGGTACCGGAACAGTCATTTTTTTTTATTGTACTTACTTATTTTATTTTTATTTTTATTTAATATTTTTAATAATTTATCTGTATAAAAAAAAATTATATCTCTATATTACTTTTATGTTTTTTAATTTATACCTTAATGTAACATTTATTATAATTAAAAAGTTTAATATTAATATTTTGTTAATATGTTTTAGTTTTTCTTTGATAATTTTTTTTGAATTTATAGTATAAATTAGTTTTTCAGTTGTACTATTTATTTTTTTTATTTTAATGTTTTTATAATATTATTATAATTTTTTGTTTTTAATTTTTTAATTTTATCACATATAAACAAAATTTGTTATGAAATAAATGAATAATAAGAGCACTCGTTGATACTAAGCTTTGTTAGTTTGCGTTTAGCTCTTATCATGTTTAGAAATACAGTAGTATTAGAATAAATGCGAAGCTTCGTTTGCACTACAATATGCCATTGCCATCAAATACCAAAACTCGTTTAACATTTTGTTTCCAGGCATAAAAGCAAGTGCAAGGATGACGAAACTTGATCTTCCCCTAGTATGGCATCAAGGAGTCAAGGACTTTACTGATAAACTTTCCTTTTCTAATGATAGACTCCC